TTAATAATTCAAGTTGCAAAAATAAAACATATATAACAATCCCCAAAAGTTTTCACCCAAACCCTAAATCATAAAAACTTAACAACAACAATTAAAATTGAAAATTGAATAAACAAAAGAGTAAAACTTACCAAGATAGGTTGGTACAATTTTTCAAAGGGGGAGAGCTAATTCTTCTAGGCTCTGAAGGTTCAAATATGGCGTTTTGGGTGCCTAGAAGAAAAAGTTTGATGTTTTCTTCTAATCAAATTTATATAGGTTATAGATTGCATGTTTACTATTTCCTATATGCTTCAAGAATGGGCTTATTTCTATATAGAGAGCTAGACTTATTTTAAATAGAGGCCTAGACTATTATTTTACCTAAATTTGGCTTATACCACTAAGTCTACGAAAAAAATCAGCACCGGACTGGAGCCCACTCTCGCCTAAGTGTAGATCCACCCTTGACCGTGATGAATAAGCTTTTCCATCACCACCGCAAGCCTCATCCATTTTCCTTTTTTCCTTGACCGCCTTTTGATGATCGCGTCTCCTGGCCGTCGAGTGGGGGTTCTAACTGAGTATCATCCTTCAAAATTACTCTTCTCCCTTTATTGATATGATCTTCCCATAAATTAGCTGGATAGGCCTATTTGGGGCAATCTTTTGAGATATGGCACACATGATACAACTTAAAAATCTTTACATGGAGGTATGTATCGTTCAAAAATATACATTCCGCACGATTACGATGATGGTTGACAAATATAATTACTATGAAGATAACTACCATGTCACTTGCTGAGCTCGTGTTGACTTTATTCAGACAAGTCTTCCATAGAGAGCATTCATCCTTGATGGTCTTGAATCTAGATTCAATGGCTTCATATGATCGGGGCACCTCAGTTTCGTTTCATTTCCATCCAACCACCAGGAGTTGAAATTAATTTCGATCATTTCATGAGAAAAATAAAGAGAGAATTAATTAACAAGTCATAGGGTTGCAAGTTACAACAAACCTGCAATCCAAGTTGCTCTCTTAGATCTACCATTGCTAGCCCTGTAATTTGAAGCCCCTCAGGTAAAGCTGATGATGACAAAAACAATTGGGTTTAGTTAATTTAGCTATCTCATCTTAGGAGTGATCATTTTTTCACTACTCCAACCCGTTACAAATTTAGTTATCTCACAGAAAAAAAACGAATATGACATGCTACAGTAATTAACTTACACAAAATCAGAAAGTATTTATGCATATATGTCTGTGACTAATTAGTATTGAATTGCTACCCCTTCATAATTGTGACTTATATTTGATAGGGGTGTACGTCGGTTCAAAATCAATACAATTTAGTTAATCCACATATGATCCAATATAAATTGGATTGTGATTTTTTCAATCTGATCCAATCATATTAGATATTTAAATCCAATCCGATCCGATCCAATTGATATTGGATTGGATTGAATTATCGGTTTTCATAATGGAAAAATATGATAATGAAATATGAAATATTTATCGTCAAGTGTAATATAATAAATTAATTAATAGATGTAAATGTAAAATATAAATGAAATGTTAGAGAAAATTATTTTGATTTTATAATATATTAAACATAATTCCATCAAATTACTTAAAATGTTTCTAAGCAAATTTGTCACCGATCCAATCATGTCGGTTTTGGAACTTAGGGATCCAATGTTAGAAAATTATAGTATTTATATTTAATTTTTTTAATAATTAAATGGAAATTAAATTGAGGGACCCGTGACTTTAAGTACATGACTTACGAATTGATATGTATCAATTAGGAATAGTCATGTTCTTAACCGAGGAAAAATAAAATATGATTTTTTGAATAAAATAATAATACCTTATGTGAAAAGATGCATTGTTTCATAAAAATTGAAACATTGCACTTCTTAGCTTAAGTTGCATTGTTTCATATGTGAAAAGTTGCAATAGAAATTGAAACATTGCACTTCTTGGCTTATGGTTGCAATATGAAAAGACACATTTACTAATATTTTTCAATCACATCTTTTCTGAACAGATAACCTATTGCCTATAAATAGAGAAGGTATACAACATTTAATTCATCCAATTGCTATCCAACAATAGTAGTTTTTAGAGCATTCATAGCATTATATTTTCAGAAATATAGTGAGTTAGTAAGAAAGAATTCATACACAAGTTTGAGTTCGCTTTTCTTGGGGATTGAAGTGCTACTTCAACAAGAAGTCGATCGTTGTATCTTGGGAGACGTTTGCCAAGCAAATTCTAAAAGCACCTGTGAGGAAGTAATTTCGTCTTAAGGAGATAGATCCAAGTTCTAGACTTGATCATCTGTAAAGTATTCTTAATTTTCTTTGTCGTTATTTTCTTGTATTTATTTCAAATTTATAGTGAAGTTTTATTTTCGAAATTCTGTAAATATAGCAATTATCCTTTATTTTTACCAACAATCTTAAGACGAAAGCTTTTTTTTGTTGTTGGTAATTGCTATATTTATTGGTTTTTTAAGAATCTTAAATTTATTTTAGTTTCTTAAAAGTTGTAAGTTTACTTTGAAATAAATTGTGGATTTTCCTCTTTATTAAAGGAAAATGACTGGTGTTACTAGTAGTGATTGTATTAGTAATGACAAGGGAAAAGGTGTGGCTCATGCTTTACCTGTGGTGATCCCTACTTCCTCCTCTCATGCAGAGAAACCTGAGAAGTTTAATGGAACTAATTTCAAGAGGTGGCAACAAAAGATGCTTTTCTATTTGACCACACTCAATTTGGCCAAGTTCTTGAAGGAAGATGCTCATGCTACTAGTACTACTACAGAAGTGGTTCCTACTGTAGATGCATGGTATTACTCAGACTTCCTTTGCAAGAACTATATCCTCAATGGATTGGACAATACTTTGTACAATGTATATAGTCCAATCAAAACTGCCAAGGCCCTGTGTGAGTCACTTGAAAAGAAATACAAGACTGAATATGCTGGCATGAAGAAATTCGTGGTTGGTTGATTTCTTGATTTCAAGATGGTGGACTCCAAGACAGTCATCAACCAAGTCCAAGAACTCCAAGTTATTCTGCATGAGATTGAGGTGAAAAACATGGTTTTGAGTGAGACTTTCCAAGTGGCTACAATCATTGAAAAATTGGCACCATCCTGGAAAAGATTGCAAGAATTATCTCAAGCATAAGCACAAAGAAATGAGACTTGAAGATCTGATCTTGAGGCTAAGGATTGAGGAAGACAACCGTGGTTCTGAAAAGAAAACCAGTGGTAACTCCATGGTGGCTAAAGCACATGTAGTAGAGGATGGGTCAAAGAACAAGAAAAAGAGAAAGCACTCAGGGCTAAAGCCCCCTCAACAAGCACGCACGTGAATTTATCGCTTAACTACGATGCACGGGTTCAATTGTGCAAAAGGCCAGCTCTGCGTAGAGTCTAATGACACTTTGAATACTAGCTCCCATATGACGATCTAGATTTAATTTGACCAAATCTAACGATGAAAAACAAAAGATCCAATGGTTGAAATGCCTAAATTAGATCCAATCCCAAAAGTCA